TATCATTTAGTTTATTGATCATTTTACAGTACCAAAATAATGGTGCTTTGTATTGATGGGGGAAGGGAATCCGAATTTATAGGTCTAGAGGATTTGTCCATCTTGCTGATGTAACATGTGTTTAACAATATGCACTCTCATACTTATAATACTCTAAAACATACCTTAATTTTACATATATTTTTCATTTATTTCTTTAGCTTATATCAATAATATACAATGCATGCTTTCCAAATTTTTTAACAAAGCGATTTTCCAAAATGATTTGCAAGTTATTTTGTTGATCTAAAGTCTTTGTTCAAAAGTGAAAGTAATCCTATTAAGGTATAAGTATAAACTTGTGTTATTATCTAACCTGGCTGTAACTTACTTCTGACTTTATACTTACTCTCTGACAGTTGAAACAATTTCCTTTTGTTTGTAATCTCTTTGTCCCATCCTATATGGGATCGCATAAGTAGATTATAACGAAAAATATTTGAAAATTCGCCAGGTTGAAAATAAAGCGTGTGAACCGAAAAAAAAATGAAATTCCAACAGTAGCGAGCTCGTTTGTTTACATGTTAGAAATTTAATATATTATATCATTTCATTGTGAAGAAGTAATTTTTTATTTATACCAAATAAAGCTGAACAGTAAATTACTGAAGTTATAATGATATGGATTAGCATAATATTATAATTAGGTGCTCATGAATTATTCATAGAATTCATATGTCAAGTGAAATGTTTCGCATTTTGTAATAAAACGCTTAAAAGCAACTTAAATTTCTAAAAATGTTCTTAAACCCCAACCATCAAAATTGTGCAAATAACTCAAGATTTTAAACATTATTTTTAATCATCTATATAATGTTTAACAAAATAGATATAGAAATTGAACATATGGTAAAAGTTAATACGATATAACGTTTTTATTTTTTATCTTTTATTTTATTCCTTTCGTTTTAAGTTTCTAACATTTTCTTAATATTTTCCTTTCACTCAAACAAAAATATTAAATATATGCATAGATATGTGTATTACACTAGATATAACCAATCAATCAACTTACCAACCAAACTGACCTACCTACCTACCAGCCAACCAACCGACCAACCAAACGTCAAACCAACCAGCTAACCAATCAACCATCCAACAAACCTACTAACCATCCAACACACCTACCAACCAATCAACCAACCCAAACAACAAACCTACCAACCAATCAACCAATGATGATGATTTTAGTTGTATTTTAGCTCGGCTCCGAGATCTCAGCGTCCAATTGCAGGTCCACTCTAGAAGTCACATTGGGGACGTTTTTTTCATGCTGATCTTCCTTAACCTGTTCTTTGTTCGTTGGAAGAAAGCTAATACTGGCAAGGCACCTTGTTCTGTGACGGCAGCAAACATAAAACAGCTCATAGTCTTTGTTAGCCCCACCCTCACGAGTTAGTCATGACCTGCCGAGTACCTTTTCGGCGCATCGTGCACTGGACCTCGGGAGGGATTTGAAGACAATCAACCAACCCAACCCAACCTAACTAAACTTATTTTCATTTAGCAGTATATTATTTCAACCCAAGCAGGCATTAAACATTTATTTTTGTCACAACTAATCATATATATATAAAATCATGAGAAAACTACGTTGGTAAATAAATAAGTTTCAAAATCTTAAGGTAAAAACAAAGTTTTATCAATCCCAAAATCTCAATTTTCTATTCTTAAAGTTTCGAAAAATTATGATTAAAAAAGGTGTTGCGAATATTTCCTCTATTCATACAGTGTCTTTATTTAAAGTTGTGATTCAACAATGCAATATAATTTATGCTCACGTTCAACGGAAACGTTGGAATTTTGTCAATATTTGAACAATCTTGCACAAGTTGATCGTCGTTTCACTGTCGTTTGGTAAAAAAATAAATGATTGCATAGAATGTATAATGTGTTGAAGATAAGCGAAGTATTTTAATTGTTTCTATATGAATGTTTGTTTAATTTCCACGCGTTTTTTTTTTCCGTGAAGTGTTCGAAGATATATCTTTGCAAAGCATAATAGCGATATATCTGTATAATAATATACGAAGAGAGTGAATTTAGCCATGTATTTGCACGTTCATTCGTTTTTGATCGTCATATTTTGTAATTTTGACAGCTTTTACGGACACTTGATAGAAAATAAGTTTTGAAACTGTCAGATTGTAGGAAACAAACTGACTTGACAATTTCTAAAAATAGCCTTAAGGATAGATGACAAGATTTATTGAAGTTTTTAAAATAATATTGGTATTGCTGATCTATAAGATTTTTATTTTGATTTGAGTGGATTATATTTAGGCGGGAATCTGATGGGAAGTGCCGAGTATGATCCATGATAGCAAAATACAAGTTGAAAATAAATCATGAAATTCTTAAAATGACATTTTAATAACTTGCTTATGGTATTTACATAAGATATTGACAACTGCAACATTCATAAATTGCACCTATGATTTTCTAAAGTTCTAAATTTTCTTCCTGACATATGTATTCATCACAACATGTATCTTCCTGACAAGTATTCTGTCTGACAAGTATTCTGCCGCAGCCTGACAAGTATTCTGCCGCAGCCTGACAAGCATTCTGCCTGACAAGTATTCTGCCTGACAAGTATTCTTCCCAACAAGTATTCTTGACGACATGTATCTTTCCGACAAGTATTCTGCCTGACAAGTATTTTGACCAAAAAGTAATCTTGCCTGACAAGTACTCTTCACAACAAGTATTATTCCAGACAAGTATTCTTCCCAACAAATATTCTGCCTGACAAGTATTCTGCCAAACAAGAATTCCGTCAGCCTGACAAGTATTCTGTCAGTCTGACAAGTTATATATTATTATAATTCTGCCCAACAGGTACTGTATTTAGGCAGACTGACGAGGGATAAAAATATGATAAAAAACTCTTATAATATAAACTACAAACAAAAAGAAATGAAAACAAACCAGAGTGTGAAACTATTCAGTACCGTATTTTAACACCTCATGTGCCGATCAGATTCTCTCAAAGTGTCATTTTCCAGCTTATTATAATATATAGCTGGAAATAATTCATAAATAACACTTTGTGACATATGCTTTTATATCTATTAAGAAAATTTAATTGTTATAGTGTGTTAACAGAACACTGAATATGATATAATATCATCATGATAATGAATGGAGATTTACAGTTTTGGGTAGCTCGTATGTCAACCTGGTAAAATCCGGTAAAGTTACACTATCGGAATACAAATTAAAGTCAGAAAAGTGTTTTATATTTTTTGTCCATTTTAATCTTTTTTGCAGCAAGTTACACTGCTCTGTATTCAAGTGGTTTAATGACAGAATTTTACTATAGTTTTTCTTCAGGATAAACCTTATAGATCATTAGATGTTAACAGTTTTGGCTGCTTTTAGTCTCTTCAATAGACAATTGTTTTATCAGAGTTAGGGCCCTTGACTTATATAGCGAAAAAATAGGCATCATGTTACTTATTGTACTAATAACATAAAACGCTGCATCGTAAGTTAAATGGAAAAAAATAAGTTACAAAACCTTACACAAAATGTTTGTTAGGAAAAGCTATTCACAGTAAACCTTTATTTCTAAGGCTTTAATTAAATTATATATGAAATTAGACTTATGATACAAGAGTTATTGCCCTTGAATTGGAGCAGATCGAATCATTGCTTTTGACTTACACAATGTTAATAGTTACTTGTTTTTTGTTGTTGTTATGTTTTTAATCACACTAGTCTGAAGCTATTGATGTCATTGATGTAGCGACTTGCCAACTTAACTGGTTGAGGAAGACGTCAGGTGCCCCTTTCACTGACACTCGCAGCGCATTGTTTCAGACTGTCAAGCCGCCCAAGCGGGTAACTGAGTAACCTATGTAATTTCAGAAGGTACAGGAAAACTTCCTCACTTGAAAATTCAAAACCCTTAAAGGTTGTTGTTATTGTTGGTGTCAAACAGGCATATCAATTTTGGAACAATTGTTCAGAGTAGGCTATAATTTATGACACTATCAAACTTTTGTCTAAAATATGATTGAATCAGATTTTTTTTATAAATCAACTTCTCAACCGATGTTATAAATATGAAGTATGCTGAGCCTTGATCACTTTACATTGTATATACCTCAAACTTCAGCTAACAAATTTTAACTAATGACGTAAAACGTTAAAAAACGTTTTTGAAATATCTCGGGATCAACAACCGCCAAATTTTTTTCGTTATTACTCTTATGAGGATATTGATGTGTTTTTGTCATGAACCGATTGTTTATGAAAATAAGCTTTTATTACTATAGCCAAAAGCGCCCTGTAAAAGGACAATATAGATATAAAACACTATTATCGATGACTTTTATGGCCGATATAAGTAGTCATGAAGTATTGAAGCAGAAAAAAAACCGAGATAGTTAGGAGGATAACAATTTTTTCTATTTCCGAATTTCAAACTGTTAATGCGAAACCGTGATGAAGCAGCAATGAATATTTATTGTATGAAACAGGTCAAAGTGTTGACATATAAAGATAAGTGTTAATTACGCAGATCATTATCATTATTTTTTGATGAGGGTCTTCTACCAATTTACAGTCAGTTCACCCGTCTGACACTTCTTTCTAAGCCATTTTTTGCAGGTACCCCTTAGCCACTTCGCCCTTCTTTTTCTGAAATCAGATTGAGACACTTCATCCCCTCCCCCCTATTTTTCCTATTTTTCATTATCTTAATTAATAGCTCCGCACTTAACACTGCATTTTATCCATCTTTGCTTTTTCTTCATCTGTACCGGTCAGTATCATGATTTTTATCACATTATATATTATTATCTAACATCAAGAATGATCGTTGATTAGACTCTGAGAAACATTGTGATCGAGAGCCGGAAAGTTCACTGTTTTATTCCGTACATAAATTCAATTTGTTAGTAATGAATGATTGTTGAATACGATGTAATGTTATAACATGCTTTATATTGCAGCCGGACTATTCTCGTCAGTCATCGTCCGGATCGACTGCGAGTCATAACCAGGTTCAGGTTCATTCTGGCGTTTCTGCTCACAGCCAGGCTCTTTTCCTACAGAAGGTACGAGAGAGTAGCGAGGCAGTGAACCGTGGAGATTACCGCGGAGCTATACAAGCGTACACAGAGGCTATTTCTCTTGATCCGTCAAATCATATTTTATACACAAACAGGGCCGCTGCCTTCGCCAAGACACAGCAGTTTCAGAAAAGTCTTCTCGATGCAAGAAAGTCTCGAGAATTGAACCCAAAATGGGCAAAGGTAGGGTTTTCTACTTCTTACAGGTTATGGGATATAATCCCATAATGTATGTTTCAGTCAACTTAAGCTGCAAACAGAAGACTTGTGAGTGCAATATGAAATGAAATATCGCACCCCTTATCATTTTATAAGATTGCATGTAATATTAATAAACTGTATAATTTATAATAGTTGATATATCAATATATTTGTATGATCTGATTTGAACTTAATATGTCATAAATGTTGGTTCAGATCAGTCAGTGTGATTGCATACTGTCCGTTAAAAGTTACAAGAAATAAATTTGAATTGTAGAAGACCCCAATTTAAGACATACATGTATAAGGTCTTAAACTCATTAAAGAAAATAACATGCTTGTGACATTGGCACTTAAATTCTTCAAAATAAAAATTTTGACTCCTCATTGCAATGTGAATGTTGCCTAAAACCTGTTTCTTGCTCGTACAAAAATGGCTGATGATAAAAGATCAATCAGTTAACATGATTAAAATTTTAGACTAAAGCAAACCGCTGTCATTTGGAATAACTTCAAATCTTACTCACAAAAATAAAATCAATCTTTTTTCATTTACTTTTTCATAAATCTTACATAAATCTTAAATGTATAGAGACTTATTATAGCAAAGACCTCCGTGAAACATCTGAATTATATGTAATTAACATTACTTACGAAGAAATATCAAAGAAAGCATTATTTGATATAATTGTTCTTGTACTTAATTTTGTTCAGTTATGTTTTGATGTGGAAATATTTTATATGCGTTATTTAATATGCATAGTTTTTTCATACTGTGTGTGTTGTCTTGAAAGCGTGTAAATGTGTTTTTTATGTGTCACGGCTTGTAAGTTTCGGAAATGTTTAGATGAATAATGCATGTATGAAATGTGACTGACGATTTAACTTTACGACTTATTTATAAAAAACGGCATAACAACTTGGTTGAAATTGTAAACAAATATAAATGTTTCAAACATAATTATAACAAAAAATCATTTATTTGTGGAAAATATACTCACTTGGACACATAAAATAATGGTCACATACTGGCCCTGAATTATGTGTCACTGGCCTCGAATTATATAAAACATTAAATGTCATTACATTGATATTGTCACATAAAAAACCAAACCAATCTCAAAGGAAATTAATGCTGGGTATACTATAGAAATCTGCAGTTGAGTACTTTGATTCTCTGTTGGTTAGAATTTTGCTAGGGAAGTTGGAATCATAATTATTTGTGTTGTGCTTCATGTGGCCTGTGGTTCCTCTGCTTTGGTATGCCCTTAATTTTCTTTAAAGTGAGACAGCTTATAATATGCAAAGTAATTGTTTAATGCCATCATTGCCATATAATTTTTTCATTATAATGCTTTCTGAAATAAATCCATCCGAAAAAAAAAAAAAATACTTCAAATAAATTTACAACAATTGGGGCTGCTAGATCAAAGGTCAACTAATATTTGATTCAAAACATTTAATTTTATAATATTCCAGAGACTCAAGTTCTTCCTATGAGAAGTGGAGGTTAATTGTTTTTATCAACTGTTTTTAAGTTGAATTTAACCTCTAAATTATAGAATCTACAATAATTTTCCCATCTGTATATACAATCACTAAGTGTTCAATAAATTTGATTTACGATGGTAAAAACTTTATAATAAATGGGAAAGACCTTGCTGTGGTGATTATTTGTATTCCGATATACTGGATAATTACTTCAGCTTGGTAATTCCCAATACAAAATGTGATTAAAAATCATATTTTTTTAATGATCGCGCATTTTGTTTTCATACTCTGATTATTAAAGGGTCACCGATTTGGCTGGTTTTATGCTTGTGTTGCCAGTTGGGAAGCTATATACCCAGCAAGCTCACAGAAGATTGGAACTCTGTTGAGATTTAAAATAATTTTTATGGGACAAAATGTAACCCATGTATGATTCTAAGTGCTGGACAATTTCTGTTAAAATAAAGGAAAATTTGTCATAATGACTCTTGAAGTAAAGATGGCTAAATTATACATCACTTTAGTGCAGTTATGCTTTAACTCCTTTTATAATTTGATAGCAGTTAACCTGTTTATCAATTTATTTGATAAATGTAAAATGTTAAGAAAAAACTTTCAAAGTCAAATTTGATTGAAACCTGTTTTTAAGAAAATTTGTTTTTGAATCTTTAACAGTTGTTGCAAAGAGACTTGGAATTGCTGTAAAAGTAGTCTATGGAAAAAAAGAAATAGTCATATTTCTTGAGATAATAGGAAAAAAAACAATGCTCATCTTATAATAAAGACTGATAGAAGTATGTCATAATTAAATATCAGATTGTGAATTATACTTATTTCTATACAATGTATACTTGGCAGTTTTCAAATGTGTCGGTCAAACAAATGTGTCGATCGAACAAATATGTGTTTAGAATAACTACTGTAACACAATGTATCGGACCGGACTAGCGTGTTTTAAGAATTTATAACCATTTGTTATTTTGTTTGAAACACGATACATATTGGCAAAGATTTGTGTAATTGTTTCATGTATACCTTATCTCATTGATTATAAAGGCCCGGCACTTAAACACACAGTCGATACCTCGTTATCTAACTCAACAATCAGCCGAAATGCGACCATCTTTTGATCGTTATCAGCAATATGGTTTTTGTGTTTTTTTGAAAATGTCTCAAATTTAAGAAGTGAAACAGCACAACCTATTGTGTTTATTTGGCTCAGTTTTGAAAAAAAAAAAATAGTCGTCTTCAAAATTTGATTCATAATTATAGCTGAACTGGTAATTATCTGCCTGTGATTGTCAGTAATTAGATAAAATTACGCAAATATTTAAGACGTTATAAATATTTTAAGGTATTGATCAATGTAGAACAGTTGTAATTTCAGTTCTGTTTGAAATAGTAATGACTTACTAAAATTGCACTAATCATGCTCCACAGAAAATAATTGCACAATATTTTGTATTCTTTGACAAAAAAAAACTTCAAATTTTCTGCTCTATAAACTTTTCTAATTTTATCATGCTTTGTTGGTCATTTTCAAAATATATTGCTGCCTTGGCATAATCTAATTATTTAACAACCTCTTGATTCCTCTACGACAACGAAAACTTTTGAGGTCGTGTCCATGTGTCAGAATTATATACTAACACTTGGGTGCTGAGAATTGAAAGTTAATTGTCATTTTGTGAGTAAAGCTCATTTCATGAAAGATTTGCTATATTAATCTAAAGGGGCTAGACCCTGGTTATAAAACTTTTTTCTGTGTTCTGTCTCAATTCTCAGGAATTTCATTGGTTTGAGAACATTCTATGGCAGTTTCTGACCAATCAGATACCTGAGATCTGAGTTTGAGCTTAGATAATTTCTTTATAACCTCAGACTCAGAAATTGCAACAGGTAGGCATGTCAAATTAAGGAAAACAGACTTTGTAAGCTTATAAGTTGCATTTAAATCAGACTTTCATGATAAAGTTCATAAAGCAGTCTGCGGGCTTCAGTTTAAATGCGTCAGATATAAATGCACAAAAAAAGGTGCATTAACCCAGTGTATTGATATTGAAAAATTTTAACCTCTGTAGAATGAGTCAACAGAATTTAATTGATCAGTGTTCCCCTTTGAATTGAATGTGTAATTTCTATTGAAGACAAACAAATTTTGAATGAGATCAGCAAATCAGCATTATGGTGTGACCCGGCTTCGTTTTTTTATTTCAAACTGAAGAGATAAAATTGCACAAATTTGATAAAGCATTTGTAAGAAAACTTGAACTTTATGAAAAAGAAATAAAATTATGATTCTGTATTGATCCTTTGCTAAAACTTTGGTATTATGAAGAAAAAAAAAGAAAACCAACATGGCATGGGGTTGTAGACTGTGATACATGTTTTAATATCGATTTTTACAAAATGCTTGAAATCCTGTTTAAAAAAGAGTAAGTTTGTTTTAAAACCAGTATTAATATGTTAATCCTCTGCTTAAAGTTTTGTATACGGAGGAATATTTGTTCAACAAAATAAATTCTTACCTAAATTTGCTTTTAAACAAGGTTAAATATTGACTTTCCGTTTGAAAATAAAAATAATGAGGTATATAATTGACTTCTTTTGGTCATCGGTTCCCAGCTTTGTCAGATCGAGACTGATTAATGAGTAACAGTAATAATCTGTGTGAGACAGGTGTTTTATAAATAACAGCTCCTGGGAAGCAAAGATCATGCAAGATTGTCGCACTTTAACAGCTAAGAAACAGTTCATTTCCGAATGTAAATTAAGATGGAAATTTGCATATTAAAGATTTGAAGCTCATGTATGGTAATATAAGAAGTAACAACAACAAAAACAGATTTTTCTCACAAAGCAGTTGAAATTTTGAATCTTGTCCGGACCCATCTTGTTCTTGCTCAATGGCTATAAGAACTTACCATGCCACTGAGACCTTAGGGCTCAAACCGTGATAGAATAGGTATATAGGACTTGAGGTACTTTGATTGTTGAACTCCTAACCTGCTAAATATCTGAAATGGACTTGTCCATCTTTCAATCTGGACAAAACCATTCATCATTTTTTAAGGGAAATTTTCAGCATTTATTCTGTCTGAATAGCGAACAATGCAGACCACAATCAGATGGCATGGATGTGCTGGCTTGATCTTGGTCTGCAGTGGTCGCATGAGTAAATTCAGTTGCCGATCCCAGGCTCTTAATATGGTTATAGCATTTGACGCTCACTTTGTACATAATGGGTTTGAACCTTTTTTGGTCACAATATTATAATGTACCATAAGATAGCACACGAACCATGGATGGTAGCAAAAATAAGCAAAACATCAAATAAAGTTTCTTTAGATTCTGAATTATGATTGATGGAAACCTTGCATTATAATGTGGTCATAATATAGGAGACACGGTTTCCCTATCTTTTTTAAAAGGTTTTGAAATTTTTTTGAGATTTTTTTTATGTTAAAAAAGCTTCCAATGAATTTGTTGCC